ACAAAGGAAGTCCATAGATAATGTGTAAAGCTGGGCACATGCGGTTTGAAAATTTATTTGTAATAAATAGTTAATCTCTGTCAATTTTTAATTATTATAAAAGATTTAAGCTATCGATCATGTATAAATACTTTTTTTAGTGGTGTAAAATATTTTAAAAATTTGGACATGAAAGTTGAACACTAATTCATTAATTGACCCTAAAGGAATTTCATGTTTGAATACTCAATTAAATTATTAGAAAACTCACGCTACTGATTTAGAAATTCGTGGAAATGTTAATATTTGTAATAGTAATTATGTTTTTATAAATCATTTCCTTTTGATAATATTCAATTAATTTAATTAATAATTGTGTTGATTAAATTTTTTATTTATATATTTTTTTTATTTTTATAAAGTTCTTTATTGTTCATTTATAGCATATTTTACTTATTTATTTTTGAAATTCTCCACGAAACCTTATGTAGTGTAATAGTAATTTAAACTGTGAGCTTCAATATTAAATAACATCTAAAATACCGCATACAACGTAAACAGTATAACTAATTTTTACGTATTAAGATAATCTAAAGAAATCAATGGCCTTACTCGCCGCTCAGCGCCTCAGAAAGCTATTTTGTATTTTCCATAGCTGTTACTTCGTACGCCATTATTATTTGATAAATTCTATGTATAATAAATTAGTAAACATTGAATAACTTTATATGAATTAAGTAAAGTTTTGGAATAAATTTTTTCAGTACCAATAAGTTATTTTAATTTTCTTCATATTTTTTTGAGAAATTTAATCGATTTTGATTCCGATTTTAAGCATCTGAAGAAAAAGAATTTTAATGCAGACATTACTATACATTAATACCCTCTGATTTGTAATAATGTAATATTTTAACATTCCAGATTTCTATCATACTTTTAATCTTCAATAAATCCGACTGTAGTTAATTTTAAAAATTAAATAAAGTTTTATAAAAGAACTTAATTGCAGTGTTTTTACTTTTTTCATTCTCATTAAAGAATTAAGTTAATATAAGAAATTTTAAATTGGTTAAAATGTTATTAACAATTCAATATTTTTTCTAGGTTGCATCTCTTATCGTCAGTCGTTTGAAAGTTAAAGGACATTCTGAATAACTGTATTGGTATTTTAGGAATGGTAAAACAGAAAGCAACTACAAACTTTGTAACTTTAAATAAATTTCCCTCTATATGTTTCCAAATATTACCTGATTTTTATAATTGATTTATTTAATAGATACAGGAAGCAAAACTGAACTGTTTGAAAATAAACATTGATTACTTGTCTCGATTCATTATTCGAAGATAATTGTAATTAATGGATCAACTGAAGATGTTTTTCAACGATTCATCACCTGAAGATAATAACCCACATACGTTCCTTCAACAATGTATATTTTTTTTCGCGCCTTAATTACATTATTGTTTTTTGGGCTGTTTTCAGCAAGTCAAGCAACGATTTAGTATCTCCTTTGTGTTTTTGATTTTCTTTTTTAATTTTTAAACATTACTTTCTCATTTTAAATAACTTTTTCGTACAAAATATTAATTCTATCAAATATTAAATCTCAATGCATAACAAATTATTGCTAACATGAACAAACGCGTTAATCACCTGTACATGTCAATCGAAAATCCTTCTCTGAAGAGTTTGCCAAAAATAGAGCAAACGATCACCACCAAAACAATGTTTCTTCCCTAAAGACGTATCTCACGTAAAGGTCGCTTCTTCTGTTGCTACAGGAATCACCAGCAGCGTCATCAAAATGATACAAACAAAACCTTTGCCATCACAGAAGAAATCAATATCATCCTCATCGGTGATCGACGAGTCCTTGCCTTATTGTTGCGACAAATGTGGAAATCTCTACAAGCGTCCAACATGTCTCAAACGTCACGTGCAATACGAGTGCAGTCTACCTGCGCGCTTTAAGTGCTACTACTGTTCTCGGGCGTTCAAACAAAAAAGTAACTGCACGCGGCATCTGAGAACTGTTCATGGCGATCGTTACGGATACAGGGAAAACGGCGCCGTGGATTGTACGTCCTCCTTCCTGGAGAAGGATTGTCTCATCAAGAAGATCATCGAGCAAAATCAGAAGATTTTCGAGTATCAGAAACACGCGCTGTTTTTCAAATAACACTTGTGCGCTGGTAGACTGTTATTCACGAGCATTGACATGACAAAAAATGGTAAATAAAATTTTTAGGACAATAAGATGAATTGTGGTGTGAAATTTTTAACAAGTAATCTGGTTAACAATGGGAATTGTTTCACGAATGGCAACTAAAATCCGAAGTATGTAGTGCCTATTTTTTATTTTTTGGTATGTTGACACTGCAGCCATTGAAGGGAATTGTTGAAATTTTTTAATTTTTTCATTCGACGATTGCAATTATTATGACATTACTTCATTGTTTTTAAAAAGCTTTTAAAAATGTTTAATCAACAAACAATCATAAGTAGAACTCAGAGTTTTAAAACAATTAATTTTACAACGGAGTGATTCAAAACTTTATTAACCAGTCTATTCGCAATTCAGTGAACCATTCAATATAATGTACAATTAAAAATTGTTTTAATTAAAAGTAATATTTACAAGGTAATTGAAATGCTAATTGATTAAAAATTTAATTTAATTGTTAACTAAAATGTAATTGTATCAAAAAATAAGAAATTAATATTATCTTTAAATTAAATTTGAAACTCAGAGTTGAACTACAAAATACACTTTAGTATCATAAATGATAATAAAAATACACAGAGATAATTGTGTGCATAAAATAACACAGAATCAATGGTTTCACAGTAGAAATAGACATTTCGAAAATGAACTATAGTAGTAAAACACGCAAAGAAAAAGATGCACTCAATAAAATATGTTGATTACTCGCAGATAATTTTTTTGTCTTTCGAAATCAGTAAGCTCTACAAGGGGAAAAAAAAAAAAAAACACTGAAGATAATTTTTACCCACTGTTTGATTTTATCCACTATAAAAATTGCCATTCGGAAAAACTACGAAGATTATCGCATTTGTCGTACCTAACGTTATATTCATCACTGAAAATCCCCGGTACAACCAGCGCCAGAGCTTGCAAACCCCGATCCACTTGCATCCCTCAAAAAAGCCAGAAAAGAAAGCTCGAACTAACTTTTCGTCTCGTTTTGCTTCCTCTGTTCCCACAGATTCATCATCACGGAAGACCCCGAACCCACCGACGAGAGAGCACTCCGAAGACAAGGACAAGCGCTTCTGTTGCTACAACTGTGGCAAAAAATACAAGCACTTCAGCAGCCTGAAGAGACACACCGACGAGGAGTGCGACAAGCCTCCGCAGTTCAAGTGCCCGCACTGCGTCCACAGGACCAAGCAGAAGAGCAACTTCACGCGGCACCTAACGACCGTCCACAAAGACATTTACGGCGAGTCGAAGAAAAAACACCCCAAGACCACTCTCGGACAAAAAGTTTCTTTCTTGCCGCGACGCTATGCAAGCTCTAACATCCACTAAGGGTTCGGTCGACTGTAGTTGCCAACTATCATAATTTCGTCCTGTTGTTGTATAGTATATAATTATTTATAATCGTCGTATTGCACCAGAAAACGCCACTTTTCTTTTGCTACAATTAACTTCAATTGTACATTGTTTGCGTAATCTTTTATTCTTACACTTTCATGATGTAAGAGAACTGACCCGATACTCAAACACGTCGAGTTTTGTTACTAATATAATTAGGATCGTTCACCTATTTCCAATTGTAAGTATACCTACCGCTCATAAGTAAAATAGCTTGAAGCTTAAAACACGTGCAAACAATTAGGGAAAGTTGGGAGAGTGAAAATTTATTGCTAACAAATGAATGCGATAACTTGTTTGCCCGAATACTTGAATATTCGATAGTTACGTGCGTTTTCCGAGTTGAAATGCATTTAAAATGTACGTCCCGGATATTTGGTTTTTAATTACCCAATACTCAGATAAGCCCTATCATTGTAACTCTGCTATTTCTTTGATAGAATTAGTTAAACAAAACATTTTTTTTTTTTTAATCCGTATCATACAATGATACGCCATAACATAAGGTATTATTGTAATGTAATTACAAACAAAAATTGGTAGAAACCGTAAAATGTTTGAGTATTGGGTTGAGTTACTTATTCGTTTACACATGTTAGACAATGATCGACTTACAATTTCTTGTAATCATAGTGTGCACGCTTGTGGAGTAATAAAATATTTTTTTGAACCATTAGCGTGTTTAAAAAAAAAAAAAAAAAAAAAAATTTTTTCTTTTGATTTCTTCAACGAAGATCACAGAGAGAAAAATCTTTTTTAATTTTTAAACATTACTTTCTCATTTTAAATAACTTTTTCGTACAAAATATTAATTCTATCAAATATTAAATCTCAATGCATAACAAATTATTGCTAACATGAACAAACGCGTTAATCACCTGTACATGTCAATCGAAAATCCTTCTCTGAAGAGTTTGCCAAAAATAGAGCAAACGANTTTTTCAGGTGCCTGCTTTTAGATTATGTGAATTGAAAATCTTAAAAAGTTTCAACTCCATCCGAATGAAGACTAATGTCTGGCACTGCTTTCAAAGCATCGGTGTCAATAAAAACAGTACCGTTAAAATAAGCAAAACTTCAATTATGGAAATATTTTACAATATACATGTCTATTATTTGCATCGTTATTCTCGCCACAAGACGAACAAACTCGCTGTGAAATCTATTATTGTTTTTTGTTTGTTTTTGTTTCTTTCTTACCCAAAATGGTGTTGCTCTGAGGAAAAAAGTTAGCCCACCGACTTCGATAGTCACCAGTAACCCCGAATGCTTCATCATTTCAGATTTTGCGATTCGCTTCACCTGCGACCGGTGCAGAAAAGTGTACAAAACCAAAGGATCCCTGGTACGGCACCAACAGCACGAGTGCAGTGGGGTACGAAAATTCGTGTGCTCGATCTGCTCGAAATGCTTCAAGCACAAGCACCACCTACAACAGCACGCGGGACGACTTCATCCTTGGCTGGTGTACTCGTCTTAAATCGAACGCTTTCAAGTAATTGATTAATCTTACCGAATCTTACGCTGCTCGTTCACACTGTTTTCTTTTTTTTTTTTTTTTTTCCCAACCCCTTATCATATTTCTTAGTAATGGTAGTCCATTGTTTATATTGTCTCCTGTATAAGGAAATAGTCCTACTGGGTTTTTAGAAGATGCATCAGCAATGGTCTTAAGTTTTCCTGGCTTGTATTTAAGAGTGTATTTTTAATTAGTTAATTTAAACATCCAGCATAATTAACGCCGAACCACATCTTTTCTTCTATGCATCTTATTNCATCTCTCTCTTTCTAATCAGTGCTTAAACGTATAAAATAATAAAAAAAAAAAAAAAAAACCTGATCGTCCGTCAAGACGATGTTGCTACAGCCAAACCTATGTTTGTGTTTTTGCAGACAAAAACTGGACCGATCACTGGCAATACACGTGCGAGCGTTGCTTTAAAAATTACAAGTCGCGGATCTCGCTGATGCAGCACCAACGACGCGTGTGCGGTGTCGGGCAGCAGTTCGTCTGTGTCGTCTGTGGCAATCGGTACAAGCACAAACAACATCTCAAGAAACACCTAAGCCGGCTACATTCTATTGATTCTTAAAAATTTTATTGGTAAATAAGGAATCATTTCGTTTATTATTTTTTTATTTATTTATTTTTTTTTTTTTTTTGTATATGTGGTTTTTATGCGTCGTTAAATAATATTGAGACACTTTCAAAGTCTAAGCTTTTCCTGAACTTTTGGATTCAACGAAATTCAATTGTTATGTTTGAAAAACGAGTACAAGTGTTGTTTTGGTGAAGATTCCATGTGTCCAATAAAGTAAAAAAGTTAACATACGCGAGTCAAAAAAGTTTTATCCTATGAAAGTCACCAAAACATTGTTTTTTACTATTTATATCTCTTGATTACACCTGCCTCACCATCAAAGTTTAAATATTACAATTAGATTTGCGAATAATATTTAGTGTTATTAAAAAATCTCAATGAGGCTTGCAGATTTAAGTTCATTTAATTTTATCAAGTCCACAACGAACTCAAGCTTTAATAACCTTGCTCATGTGAACCTAAAGATATTTGTATGTAAAAATGTAAATAAATGTCAAAGTTGTTAATTAATTTTTAAAGCTAGTGATGGTACTTCCATTGAATAAGCTTACATAGACTTGTATACATATATTTTTAATAATATTTCTAATCATTTATTATAATTACTACTACTATCTGTCTCTTTCTAATTCTGTAAAAATCCTCATTTACAAGGAAAATAAACAACTTACGAAAAACTCATTAATATATCTTTCAATCTTCCTTGCAACAAATGTTTTCCCTTGTGACGCGATCCACTCATTGTTTTTTTTTAATTTTTTTCTTCATAACTACTCCATTATTTCTGATATCCTAGAAATTAGTAACATATTTTATGACACAGTTACAATTGAAAAAAAAAACTCCACACTGAAAAACACAATATCCCTAAAAACTCATGTTTTCAGGTAGCAAAGACGAAGAAGAGCGAAAACACGAGTGCACTCGATGCGGCAGGCGGTACAAGTGGCGCAAGTCTCTGAACGTCCACAGACGCAATGCCTGCGGCGCCGAGCCACGTTTCGTCTGCCGGTTGTGTCCTAACAAGCGCTACAAGCACAAACACCATCTAAAAGAGCACGTGCACAGTTTCCATTTTTGTAACTGACAAGACTGGCGCTTGTAAAGATATTTTTTGTTTTTTGTAATAATAAAACAAAATGTACAATAAAACGATTTGCCAGGACTTATCGATCGCTTCTCTTGACTATCATCGCATTGTCCATAAATCACATAAAAATTAATCCATATAGCTCCACGCTCCGAAGCGCCGTACGCGTAAGCTATGTATCTCTTGATCAAAAAAAAAACCAGCTTTTTCCAAGATTTTGTACAAACAACCTCTGATTTTCTTCCCCACAGAGTACTATTACGTCAACGACGATTACGGTGTCATCGCCGACCCACCGATTCCACCAACTATCGGATTAAGCAGCGAGTACGGCGTCATCGCCAACCCACCGCTTCCACCAACTATCGAAATAGGTGACGTCGATTATAGTGACTACACGAAGCCCCGACGCAGGTATTCACGGCGACCGGCGAGCACGGCACAGGGCAGCAACCAGGCCTTCGTGTGCTGTCAGTGCAACAGGAGCTACAACCGTATCGAGAACCTGATGCGTCATGTACGACTGGAGTGTTTACAGGCGCCCAAGTTCAGCTGCGATGTCTGCGAGCGTAGCTTTTATCGGCGCTACGAACTCACGAACCATCAGGTCGCCAAACATGGGAGATACAAATCGACGAGTTAGCTATCATCTGCTGGAAAATGATTTTTTTTTTTTTTTTCCAACCCTCTTCGACATTTTTGTGGGTACTTCTTGTTGTAAGTGTGTGTTTTTTTAGGACGCGAAAAACAATGCGCGGCTTTTTTTTTCAATTGTAAAAGGTTTTTAGAAAAGCAATTGTTAACGATTTTTGCATTTACTTTGGTGAATCGGATTTTTAATGTTTACTTCGAATAGTGTAGTTTTTGTATTTAACATGTTCGTGACGCGGTTGCACGTGTTGAAATATATGATATTTAATAACGACTGTACAGAAGAAACAACTTGATAATAAATTGTCGAAAAAAAACTAGTATTCAGCGACCAAGATAAACCTGCTAGTCTCCCGTAATCGTGAGTGTGGATGTATGGGTAATCCTATATGGCACGCAATTTGATTGCTCGTATTCCCAATTCAAACAACTCGATAGCAAAAAAACAGTGACAAAGAAAAAAAAATGAAATTCTTGATACTAAACGATTTGTGTTGCAGATTGGCTTTTCCAAGGACCAGCCCAGATATTCCTGCAGTCACCGTTGTCGTGCACCATAGCCAACGATCCCCTGCCCTTCAAGTGCGAGCGTTGCGGTCGTCGCTACTTCCGCAAGTACACCCTGGTGCGCCATCTCAAATTCGAATGCGGTACATAAAAATATCTGCTTTGCTAGCATCAACGAGCACTAACAATGTTTTCACTCAGTAAAAATTGCAGGGAAAGCTCCGAACTTTCAGTGCGAAAAGTGCATGAAAATGTTCAAGCATCGACATCACTTGCGGGAGCACGCAAAGGTTCACTTGGACTCGTACTGAGGAGGCTGAAAAAAAAAAAATAGGAAAAGTTTAGTTTGGGCATTGTTCTCCGTGTAAGATCATCTCGAATTTTGTAGATGAAATTGTCACTGTATTTAGAAAAAAATCGTAGAGTTTTATATTTTATATTAAATTATAATATGCAATAAAAGACCAAAAAAAAAATATATATATATACCAATATATACTCGATCTATCAATTTTAATTACCCGTCAACTGCTGTTGCTACGTACAAACTAGCTCTACTCCCACTATCCGTACCAGAAAAGAAAAAAAAAAAAATGAAGAAAATGGTAGTACCACTTTCACTAACGAGGTAACCAAAATTTGTATGTTTCAGGAATTGATTCGCTGTTCTACTCACCGTTCGGGCGACCAACTCACCTCGAGATACCCGTGAGCCAGTCGGAGAGCGGTCGTTTCCTGTGTCCCCAGTGTCCCACGACGTTCACGCGCAAAGACAATTTACGCAATCATCTCAAATACCAATGCGGCCAAAAACCTCGGTTTAAGTGTCTGTACTGCAACTACTGCACGAAACACTCGCCCAATGTTAGAACTCACGTTAAAAGACTTCACCCGGACAGAGAAATCTGCATCGTGGATCTCGTGCAGGACAAGTTTTTGTACTAGATGAATGTTATCATTGTACTTATGAAAAGACAAAAATTTTAACGAAACGAGTTTTTTTAACGAAGAAAATGTTTAAGATTAAATGGCCGTGCATGAGAGGATTGTATATGCTTTGATGTGTGTGTGGGTGTGTGTGTGTAAAAATCTACCCCCTTATTCGAATTAAAAAACCCAGTTGTTAGTAAAATTTTAAAAGAATTTATGAGAGATGGTTGATAATATATTTAATGACGTTAAAAAGAATTGTTTTACGATAAAAACTATTTGCGTTGGATTTGTAAAAGAATGTGAGCCAAAAATCATCCGCTACGAAGAAAGTGGTTAAAGCGCTGGCTCTCTAATTTTTATGTGGTACATTTATAAACCTGTAACTTATATAAACGTCACATATAATCTTGTATAAAATATTAAGTACTTATTTATTTAACTGTAAACTGATTTTTCATGAAAATAAGCATCTAACAATTTATTATACGTATACTGTGAAATTTATTTCTTGGTATTGTATTTGAACACTACGAGTGATTTTGCAAGACCATGGCTAAAAATAAACAAAATAACCCAAACTGGCGGTGAAAATTTCATTTTTCAATCTCCAAAAAACAATAATTTCACCAAGTTATTCGCAAGAAAAGACGATAGTCAGTAATAATAACATATTCCAGCGTTGAATCAGGTAAACGTTTTTTTTTTTTTTTTCGCATGAACATAAATATACGTACAAACATCTGATTTTTCGTACAATAGTTAAAATTACCGTTCGAACTCACCAACAATAAAAATAAAAAAAATAATAAAAAAAACCTGCGCTAACGTGCACGATGCATTTTTTTTCTGTTTCTTTAATAAAGCTCCTTGGGGCCTGCGCATAGCTAAAGTCGAGGACATCCTGAACAACTCGTCGTCACTGCGAGCCCAGCGACGACCTCGACGTGGTAGACCGGCCGTTAATCGACGTTTTCAAACCGACGACGGCTACGACACCAGTAACTCAGGCCGGCGGTTCTTGTGCCCAAACTGCCTCAGTCGTTTCTCGTACGAGCGTGGACTGCAGCAACATCTCAAGTACGCTTGCTATCAGCGTCCGAGATTCAAATGCCCGTACTGCATTTACAAAAGCAAGTATCGTTACAATGCGTACAACCATATTAGGCACACTCACAAGGATGAAGATGTGTACTGTATTGATTTGAAGGAAGAGGTGGAGAGCAGATAATCATTTAGCAATGTGTGCAGTTTCCTTTAGAAAGTCTGAATTAAATGTAATTATATCAACTTATGTCATAAAATTAGAAAAAAAAAATTTTTTTTTTAAATACTTAGGTTCATCCCTAGCAAGAAAACAAGTGCAAAATTCAGAGACCATGTCGTTTTTTATATAGAGCAACGCAAATATAATTACCCTTGGCTTCTCGCGTTTCCTCTTGATGATCAAGCCGTCGTTCTCTATGTAGTCCGGCACGTCCTTTCTGTTGCTAAAGTTGAATACCATCGTGTTGTTGGCCTGGTTCCACGGCTTCGAGTCCCACAGACCGGCGCTCGAGTTGTTGTTGCTGTTGTTGTTCTTCTTGCCCGAAGGTTGAATTTCCTCGGCACTTTTCAAACTCACCACCACTTTCGTAGGCTGCTGCTGCTGCTGTTCTATGCTCTTCACGCGGTTTATCAAATTTTTCTCGATCTCCCTGTTGCTGAGATTTTGCTGGGGCAACTGGGTCTTGGTCGACACGAGCGGCCGTATGATGCCTATCTGCTTTTGAGGGGGTGAGTTTGACTCAGGCTTCTGGCTCCTTATGGTTTTCGATTCGTTGCCTTGCGAGAAAGTCGTCGTCGTCGTCGATTTTATGAGGCTCAGGCTCGAGATCGCCCCGATGGGCTTTGTTTCAGCGCCATCCTTCGGGGGATCTTCTTTGAAGATCGCTTTGTCGTCAGCCTCTGCTCTGACGGGCGATTCGAGGGACGTCGTCGAGTTCAACTCGGACAAGCTGGACGTACTCGGACTTTCCGCGGAAGGTGATTTTAGCCTGGCGCAGCACTCGACTAGCTTGGGTGACGCGAGCTCGCACTCGAAGGAGGCCTCCACCGATTCATTGGGAGTGGACGCCACAGGTCTGGGCAGGTAACTTTTTATGGATGGACTGTCATTGAAACTGAACTGCACTGTCATGCCTGCCTTGCTTATGTTGTCGAGGGCGGACTTTGACACTGTTCTGGGACTGTCGACCACCTCGACCACCTCGTCGAAACTCTCAACCAGAAGAGTTGAGTCCAAGGATGAAGCCGAGTCACTTAACTTTGCCACATCACTCGTGTTTACTGTCTCCACGCTGTTTTGATTATTTAATTCTAACACTGTCTCTTTTACCTGCTCCTCGGAAGGCTCGTCCTTGTTCTGCTCAAAGTCTATTTTGGGCACTTCAGAAGACAGGGGTGATGACAACTTGGACTGCTCGTACTTACTCGTCAGTGGAGTAGAATTTGACTTTTGTACAAAAATGGAAGGCTGCTTGGCGTTGGCTTCTGTCCTTGGAGACAACGGAGATTGAAGCTTTGGCGGTGTGGTCCTTGGTGATGGAATTGGTGGCATGTTACCAGTGGGCGACGATTTAAGATCTAGAGAAGACACTTTTGCCCTTACTGCTGAAGGCTCTGGGCTTGGTATTGGCGAAAACCTTACTTTACTTGGTTCCGGAGAAGACGACGGAGAGTAAGACCTTTCGATCTGCTGAAATTTACTGACCACCAGAGAAACCGACGAAATTATGGGTTCCGTTACGACGCCATCGTTGTGATAAGACTCTTGACTATTTTGCTCTATCAACTCTGCGGTGGGCTTTCTTGTGAGTATTATCTTACGTGGTGAAGTCGTGAGTTTCGCGTTTCCATTGACAAAGGGCTTGGGCTGTAGGGGTGGCTTTGGAATGATTTTCTTTTGGTTTTGGGCCTTGAAAGTGTCATTTATAGTCTTGAAGGTGGCAATTTTAACAGCAACTTCACCCTTTGGCTTTAACTTTTTCACTGATGAACTTTCAAAAATGCGCATAGTAGTTTTGACTAGATCCGGTGGTGGTCTCTCCGTTTCAGCCAACACGGGCTTTATTCTCTTGGGCTTGTTGACAGGTTTCAGTCTATCCTTGTCCAAAAGACGATTCTCAATTTTAACAGTGGTCCTGTCCACCAGGATAATGTGATCGTTCTCCTGCTTGAAAACATTGGACAACACGAGCTTNTTTTTTTTTTTTTTTTTTTTTCGTCTCATGTAAATAGTTTTATCGTCATTTTCGTAGACATACGGTATTGTATCTTTTTTTCTGACGTTCTATCGACCGCCAAAGTAGTCGGAGAATAAAAAAATTACCAACGATAACATAACGTTTCATAAAAAAAAAAAAAAATCAACGACGTGGCTGTCATTGTATTTTCCGATAGCATCACGCATACCGTTTACCTTGTATGCTATTTTAAAATGTATACCTCTGTTGTTTAGTGTTGAAATAAAAGGAAAATGATGGCCCAATCAATGGCACTCGTTTATTTTTCCCTCCCCGAAATCAGTCCTCGAAACACCAAACACGTATACGCCTTGATGAACTGGGTCCTCAGCAACCATAACAAACACACCGTACGCCATGAAAATTTTGTTTAAACGTGAAGTATATATAATACATGTGTCCGTGTGAAATCTCGCGCGCACTAACGTCACCATATTATTTCGTTTCAGCTCCGTTGTACGTAAAAATGGATGCGATGCTCAACCCGGTGGTGAGCGGCGAAAATTTCGCCCCATCGTTTGCGGGTCGCGCGCTACCTGTGGCACCCGAGATCAGCAAATTTACCGGCTCCTACGACCCGCATCGCAGTGTCTACGTGTGCAACCAGTGCGGCAAGACGTACGAGTACTCGAGCAACTTGGGACGTCACAAGAGGTACGAATGCGGCTTGTACCCGAGATTCGGATGCACGTATTGCCCGTACAAGTGTAAACAGAAGGGAAACATCAAGAAACACGTACTGCTGCGTCACAAGAACCTCGAGGTCAAGTACATAGACTATTTGTGAGAGTAAATTTTCTCCTGGAATAATGAACAGAAAAAAAAAGGAAAAAAATATAATCTAGTTTAATGTAATAGGCCACTTTTGAATGTGTGGATAGGCATCGTGGTGCTTCGTGGGTATTGCAAAATGTGTTGTTAAACACTTAAATCATCTAAATGTTTATCAATATTATATACATTGAGTAACTTTACATGTCCTGGCTGATGTTGGAATGTAGGTTTTCATGAGACAAATGTTTTATTTTATTTATCCAATAAACCGGTGATTCGCAATCTGTAAGTGCTCACTTATTTCTCACTGTTGTATTATTATCACGTTGCTGACACCAATACACCATTTTACACTATTCTGCCATCGTTTTCATTTTGAACAACTATTAACAATTCAATGCAGCTCATCGACTAATTCACCAACATCTTGGTTTATTTTATCCCGCTATAATTAACATAATTTCCACTTCCACAAAAAAGGTCATTTGCACGCAAACGTGATAAGAGCAAAAAGTAAGACAATGACGGGAATGCGAGACATTTCAAACAAATTATACCCGTCCCCGTCATTTTCTTACTCTTTGCTCTTATCGTATTCGCGTGTGAAGGGCCAAACGAAAAATTGGCCCAAATAGTTGGAAGCAAAAACATGCATGTATAAGTCATTAGAGTGTATACATTAATTTTTCAATATATGTTTCAAGCAGGTGTTTTCGGTGTAATGAGTACAACGCCCGCGACCTCGACGTCCCTATGCCGGATCAAGGTAGTAGAAAGTAAGTGCACGCCGCGTCTCTGTATCCGTCATCGGCGCACACGCAGCAATGAGTAAAATGTAAATTATTATTTTCACGCTCCCCACGTGGCAAAAGGTTTGCAAAAGAAGCCGACCCTCAGCGAGGAGTTCAAGCGAAACTTGAGCGTCATTGCGAAAAGCATAGCTTCGAAAATGCTGGTGGCGAGCAATCCCAACGTTTCCCCGGAAAAGCGGACCATATCCTTGAACGATCTTTTGACGCAGATAAACGTGACTCCGAGTCCCGTGGACAGAAAAGGTGATGACTGATGTTACTCTTTTCCTTCGTCTTGGAGATTAATCGTGATTTTTCTCTTTGTTCGTTGCAGATAAGATAAAATTGTTGGAACAACAGGTTGATGAAAAATCGCAGGGGTCGGAGGAAAAGTTTCAAAAAATCGTCATTGGTAATTAACCCCGTTTCAATGGATCGATGCTTTATTGCGCGACCAATCCGTTTTGTACAAATTGCCGAATTCTCGTTCTCCAGGTTACCTCGTCAATATATCGGAGAACGTGAAGGAGCTGAAAAGCGAAGTGAGCAAATTGTCCCAGCAGATAAAAAACACCAAGCCCACGACACCGGACACGAGGATGAATACGAGAAAATTGTCGACTTTCAAACAATTGGGTGATAAGCACTCCTACAAATTGCCACTGACATCCGTAGAAGATTTTGAACGGTTTGACAAAAACCTGGCTGAGACAGGCTCGAGTTTGAGAACTGATCTGGTGAGCTGTTTTCGTTGGAACTTTTGGAGATTGGCGTGTACGTTTGACAATACTGATTTGCATCATTTGTCTTTCAGACAACAATTCTGACGTCCTTTTACGATAAAAACCTGTCCATCTCGAAGTACATTGAAAAAGTGATGAAGGCGGTTCTCAGCAAAGAAGTAGCTGTGCAATTCACGGCAGTCAAACAGGCCAAGGGAAAGAAAATCATGAAAAGCACCCAACTCTTTTCCTGCATCGAAGGTACTTTACGCGATCTCTTGATTTTAACCAATAAAACTCCAAAAGTGATTACTCATTCATCATTTGAAAAGTACAAACTATATGTCAGAGTTTTTGGAGATTTAGAAAAAAAAAAAAAAAAAAATTGAGACAACCATTAAATTATTAAATCGATATTTCACCATAGTGATAAATGAAATCTCAGTTTAGTGCCAACGCTTTCTTCGTTTTGCAAAATTCTTAGAAAATACATTCATACAAATATCCAGACATAAATGTATTTCGTTGGTTTCACTTTCGAAATTGATAAATTTTTGTACGTCTAAGCTTAAAAGAGATATAAAGTTAACAAATAAAATAAAATAATAATAATATTCCAATTTGCAGCTGTAGTCAAAGATCAGCGCAGACAATCCAATCTAGTTACAACTGACAAGGAACTGGCTTACTCTCTCAGCTGTGTCATGACAAGCACAGCCCAATGGAATAAGCCAACGCTTCGAAGAGAACACGGCAGTGCCAGATACTCCGATGGCCATCCAAATGAACACGACGAGTCGTCCCAGAGTGAAATGGTGGGCAAAAACCCTGATATTATTGATTTGGATGACTATCCGTGCTCTGATGATACCAATTAAAAGTTTACCAATCATTTGAGATTCTTTTTTTTCTGTTTCAAACTAATCTATAACCATACGTGTATTTTTATTGGCGTTACATTTATCTAGATTGTGGACGCCAATTTTTTTGTAAGGACTTTTGAAATAAAACTTTACTGTTTGTGTGAAAAAAATATATTTATTAGTGTTTTTAAAACAACGGATATTGTTTCTACGTGTACAAAGGAATGTATATAACATGTTGTAAAAGAAATTTAAGAAATTGTAATTTAGTCTGCAATAAAATTGTATGAAAGTGTAATAATAACAGTTGAAATTTCTTGATAGTTTCAATAAATAATTATTTCATCATCACCATCGAGTATTTTACTTATTCATCTAAAGAAGCTTTATCTTTGTCATTTTTTGCCCCATCAAAAAAAGGAAAGACTTCTAGTTAGTTATAAAACTTCTTCTAACCAATCATCATTGATTTTTTGTTTTAGATGAATTCTACTACGTCAACATGACAAATTACCGAAGGCCAAGGAACGAGGGTCCAGGGAAAAAATTTTTCTGCAACAACTGTCCGTCGTCGTTCATTCGAAAATCTTGTTTTGTGCGTCACCTAAAAAATGAGTAAATGATAAAATTGATTTTTTACTGTAGATTCACATGAATACTGGAAATAAAACAACGGTAATATTATCTTTCAGGTGTGGAATGAACCCCAGATTCAAGTGTCCATATTGTTCATATCGTAGCAAATACACTTCAGCAGTTAACAAACACATTCGACGTTTGCACGTTAATGAGGAAGTTTATTACATTGACATATTTAAAAATGTTAATAAACGATGAAAAATAACTAAATATCATGTGTTGACACTTATTGTACATAAACATGAGTCACTACTTGAAAGTTAGAGAGCCTAGATTTTAGAATAAAACTTACTATTAATATTTCAAAGAGTGTGTGCACAATATGCCTAAAACATTATTGATATGCATTGAAAATAACGAATAAGGACCAATAAAATAAAATGACAACAAGCAAATGTCGAAGCACAATTTTTTTTGAACCATAAAAAATGCACAAACATAGAATAAACATATACAATGCGTGGCTAAGTTATACACTCACAAGGTGCATGCTCGAAACATCACAAAAATATACACCCAGAGTAATTTGCACGTACATCAAAGAATCCTGTACAAATACGCCATATATTGAATTTCAGGCTGGAACATGCCATTCGTCGACTATCAGTTCGCATCAAAATTAGATGCCGTACCAATAGAAAATATTATGATGCCCTCTTCGGAGTGTGACCCATTGGGTGTTCCCGCAAACAATGCCATGAAAGGTAAGAAGGATGAAAAAAAAAAAAAAAAAAAAAAAAAAAAAAAACATCTTTTTCATCGTTTTACCTGTTTTTTTTTTTTCAGGGGGGCGCTACGAAGAAAGTGGTTAAAGCGCTGGCTCTCTAATTTTTATGTGGTACATTTATAAACCTGTAACTTATATAAACGTCACATATAATCTTGTATAAAATATTAAGTACTTATTTATTTAACTGTAAACTGATTTTTCATGAAAATAAGCATCTAACAATTTATTATACGTATACTGTGAAATTTATTTCTTGGTATTGTATTTGAACACTACGAGTGATTNAACCATTAAAAAGCAGAAAGAAAAAAAAAAAAAAAAAAAAACATATAGAAAAAGAAGTAAAGCCTTTAAACCGTGAATGACCACAGTTACAGATTCCCTAAGCAGTTTGATCGACTTCACGTGCACAAAGTGCCGAGAGACAACCAAGAACCCGGACTACTTTGTGAAACGCGGCAGTCTCGAGTGTTCCAAGTGCCAGGCCACACTCAAGTTTCAGTGCACGCGCTGCAAACTTCTGATCCGCCAATTCGACAGCGCCTGCCGTCACGCCAGACAAAATTGCCTTCGCGAGAAAAGCTCGTCCCAGGTAACCCACCTTTGGTCTCGACACGCAGAGGCGTGTAACAAAAAAAACAAAATGAAAAAAAAAACATCGCTAACGATACCTGTTCAACAGGAGGAAGCGAAGCCCCTGCGAGGCTTTCGGGGTGGGAACGAGTCCCTGCGCAACTGTCCCGAGTGCTACTTCAACACGTCGAACTACGTCGAGCTGCGCCAGCACTATCGCCACGAGCACCCGGAAAAATACGCGACCTCGCACATCTGCTTTCATTGCGCGCGTTTCTACAAAACCCGCGAGACCATGCTCAAGCACGCCCGACTCTGTGGCCGCGAGCCCCACATATTCTGCAGATTTTGCTCGTACAGGACGAAACGCATGGAACACCTGCGCGTCCACATAAAGCTCAAACATCCGGATCCCGAGTCCTGTCACGGTGGCAGCTACGATTGCCCGAATTGCAAGAAAAGGTACAAGTATCTGGCCGCCATGAAGACCCACGCCAAGTACTGCAAGGTCGTCACTGCTATCAAGAGGCCCAAGTAACGGTGCGGGGATCAATTTACTGTAGTATATATACATACGTAGCTTAGAGTACTTGTGTACATTGTTTGGCCATTCGAGAGGGTAGTGGTGCTCGAATTTTGCGTTCAATCGAAATTAAATCTTTGATTGAAAATTGAACCGTTGTAAAGGTTTAAAAAAATAATAAATAAAAAAATAAAAAAAAGGATGCTTGGTTGTTTCTAAAACAAGTTTTTGCAACTACTATAATTATCTTTGGTTTCAAACAACAATGTAAAGGTTATTATATGGAATTTTTGTTGAATAAACAAAAATGATATAAGTTTGAGAGTACGTGTTGCGATCTAAGGTAACGATAAAATTAATCAAGCACCGGATTTTTTGAAAAATAATCATCATAACTGGTTGAATTTATTGAGTAACTTAGTGATATTTATGTATTATTTATTATCACGCTGATACCACGATGCAAATATACATTTGTTATACTGTATTTATTATATAACATATTTGTTTTCTTGAACCAGTTTGATGGACACAAAACAATAATAATTAATTTTAATTAATTTATTGCCAACTCCCACGTGACAGTGATACCTATACGGGCAATACAGGTTCGTTATTTTATATGTATCCATGCCACGGGTTATTAGTAATAATAAATAGGATATCTCAAACATTGTCCTCGTATTATACGGAGCCACACATTGCCCAGAGACGTTATTTTTACGTGAGTTTAGCTACTTGCATAAGGAAAGCACAACTATTCTTTGGTCTTGATATGTGTTAAATGTATTTGTTATATTTTAAACTCACATGACTGATGCAATTAATTTTAATACAGAGTACATCGAAACTCAATTGGGCACTAAAATATTTGCCGAGTAAAGGTATTTTTAATTTTATTTTAATTGAAAAAAGCTTGAAATCTTAATTGTGTATATTAAAAACTGCATGCATTATTATTATTTAAGATTGTAGAGGACAGTATACCTTTAAATTTACGAAGGATATTTGTGAAATCAAAAATCAACATTGAGATGTCCTGGATTGTCCGTACTTTAAGCATTTGTTGGTGTAAATAAGTAATGCGAAATTTATAGTTTTAGCCTTTACCAGTAACAATAATTTAATGTGCAACTCAAAATAAGCAAGTCTTTCTCTAGAGAGAAGCGGATAATGCCATGTAACAATTACTATTTTTTTACCCTACCACGGGAAGGATTCGCTACGTAAGCGCCATCTAACTGGAACAATCCCTCCGGTCCCGTTGTTAATGGCACTCATGTGACGGATACTTTTATTTTATTAGCGTACACTCGTGGTGGAGTAATAATTTTAAAAAAAAGTAAGAATTAATAAAAATTAAAAGAGAAAGTTGCATTGAAAAAGAAAAAATTGTTCAATAGCAATTCACAAACGTTCGATTGGCGATTAGGAACTGATTTTCTCTAATTTAGTGTGTACTAGAAAGAATCATTGCAAATAATAATTTCATGTACGAACATTGCACTTGTGTATTTTAAAATATGGTAATCAAAATTAATAAAAAAAAAATTTTCAAACAATGTTTGCTTCTTTGTATAAAAAAATGACCTCACCCATACAAAACTCGACATTGTTTGTGTTCATGGTGTTCTCCTGGGATAATAATCATTAACCATGCCATTTTTTTGGACATGTTGCTCATTAAAACTAACGATATTTTTCTTTCTTTTTTTTTTTTTTTTTTTTAGATACAATCAAATTGCGAGTAAAGACAACTTCGGAGTTAAATCTGTTTCCCCGTCCGATAAAAACATCGCAAGGTATTTTACCATTTTTCAATCTTTATTACCTTACGTTGAAATAAAAATTAATCGCAATTAATTCATGCAGCAACTCAAGAGGAAGATAATCAAGCTATGAAAGAAGAAAATGGCAACAGCGACGATGACATGGAACCTTTGATTTTTGGTAAATGAACTTTACGATATCTAATCTACTGTCGTGTAATTTATCACAACTCATGATGATGTTGTCGTTAACAGATGACGAAAGTCAGAACCAAGGCTTGGTAGAAAATATCGAAAATCTACCGTCATCCGTGGTCCGGCACTTACCGTCTTTCTCAACGAGCGACAGTTCACTCGAGTCAGAAGTTCCCGGCACATCAAGTAATTTTCACAAAAATTTTCCACAACACGAAATGACATTATGGCCAAATTTCTGACGCATATGTGCCTTAATTGCAGATCAAACCGACGTGATAGTTCGCTTCTACTGTAAAAACTGTCGCAGGCGGCAATCGATCACAGAAATCACCCGGGACATGCTGGTCAAGTGCAAAATCTGCTCCAAATTCATGCAGTGCCAGTGCCCAAAGTGCGACAAGTTTTTCAACAATTCGATGATCGCCTTCAAGCACGTGACCCGCAATTGTTTTCATCAGGCAGCCGCCCCGCGTCAATTGACATTGACGGAGAAGATGGAAAAGATAAAAAAACGCAAGCTCGCGTGGTGCGACTGGTGCAAAAAGAACTTTGAAGATGCCCTGCAGTTGGCCAAACATCAGGTGGATTGCCCCGTCGACGATTCGGATTCGGAGAGCGACTAAGAGATCAACTTTTCAGATCGAATCCTCGCTGATAACGACTTTGTTTATTTACTTCTTTTTTTTAAGCATCGCTTTTTTTTACATTTGTGAAATAATTACCCGAAAAAACTGGGATAGTTAAGTCGTTTCTTTGTAGAAAATTTGCACTGCGTTGTCAATTATTATTATTTTTTTTATTTTTTATTTAGATTCATTTTGAACATGATTTTTTTTTATTAAGAAGATGGTTGTGAGTGAATCAATTGGAAAAGTTATTTACTAATTTGAGTGTTTTATTTAAGCCTAGGTTCTGCGGATTAAAAAGGGCTGTATTAAAATATTAACATGAGTTCATTGTTGAAATTAAATATAAAATAAATCGATACAGTTCAAAACTTTTTTTTTCAGTTATTTCGTAAAATTGATAAACATATCCACTTTTCAATTTAGATTCGAATTTTAGGCACTTTGTCAAATATTTGATGACATTTTAAAAAGGGCCCTCCACACGCTTAGAAACTCATTAATATCTGTAATGATCAAATCTCACATTTAACCAAATTGTTGTAGTGAGATGCAAATAAAATGTTAACATAACCATGATTTAAAAATTATTATAAAATACCTAGTTTCCCATTAAAAAAATTATTTCAATAAATACTGCTTGAATGCCATTGTTTTTTTAGTACAAACGAACCTGTCATCCCGTAAATATCCATTATTTTATTTGTTCATTGTTTCATATGTTTTTTAGGTGCCAAGCAGCTGCTCTCCCACAGGATGTTTTATCTTCGTTATACGAGAAATATCATTTAACACTAGTACGATGAGTAACAAAAAAAGAAGATTCAATTCATCTAAATTTTTTTTTAAAATATTTATTGTGTTCTATTAAATTCAAAGTTTATTGTGTTACTTAAAGTACTTGTTTTGTCATTTATTCATTACACCTGATGAATCTCTAGTCCGTATTTTCATAAAAAAAAAAAAAAAAATTCAATACTTAGTTATATTTTTTATTATTCGATTTTCCAGATGTTGCCAATTCGGAGAGTAGCGTTAGGAGCGCCAATTTACAGTTTTTCCCACCGATACCACTTGAAAAAGACTTGATAAAGCCATCCACGAGCACCACCGAACCACCGCGTGAGTAGTTTGGTCAAAATACCGATTGATGAAAATTTATCCCAAATATTTGTAACTTGTAAAATATTTTCAGTTGAACCGACCATTTTGGTTTACGAAAATCCCGAAAGCCCACCGGAAATAGCATCCGAGATAGTGATTCCCGTGCTGAAATCGAACTCGTACAAGACTCGAAAGCTCGAAAATCCGAAACAGCGTAAGTAATTTTTCTCCATAAGCGCTTCCAAATGCCGTCACGAATGGATTGACATCAACGATAACTTCCAGGTGCTCGTCCGAAAGTTATTCCCAAGGGTGCAATCGCAAAACCGAAGGAAATGCTTGGAGACCGGCCAAAAAGGAGCAACATTACATCCAACAATAACAACGTCTCGGCCAAAATCAAGGCAACTGGTCGGTCTAAAAAATTCCCGTGCTACAACTGCAACAAATCTTACATGTCGCTGCACAGTTTGAAGCGTCACCTCGAATTTGAATGCCTCGTGGATCCGCACTACCGCTGTGGACACTGCGAGTTCATCTGCGCCTATCCCATAAGCGTCATTAGGCACAATAATAATCGGCACAAGGATTTGGAGCCGGTTGTCATCGACACCAACTTGTCCACTTGAAGAAAGGAAGAGTTGATTTATCCTTTCGACAATTTTGCTTTTTTTATATTTTTAATGTTTAATTTTCTTTTTCTTTTTTTTTTTTGCATTAACTTTGCAAATTACTTTTCATCGTGTTACAATTTAAGGTAGAACAAGAATTTTTTCTAAAATAATGATTTGATTATAATTTTTTTCATCTTATAAACTAGGCTAGATTTTGTTTACATTATTGAGAAATGTATACAGTGCCCTAAATTTCTTTTTCATGATAAAAATTCAAATACGCTCAATGCACCAGCTTAATGCTCTCGTTATTTTAAATCATTGATTCGGTGTGTCTTCAAACAATCAATAACCATGAAAATATTTGATTAAAATATTATGCCAAATTCAGAAATAATGTCTATGGTATAAGTAGTTTTATTTTTTACTACATGTAAAAACATTTCTTGTATTAAAAATTATTTGAATAAAGAATACATTTGTTTTGTAATAATCAAGTTTGTCATCATTTTTTCAAATTAAAAAATAAAGGAAAAAAGTAACAATTTATGTAACTAAAAATGCAATTTGTGAAATGATAACCACTGCACAAACATACTATTGCACATTTGATGAGAAATTAACAAACTATAATTTTTTCAGATGACCATTCATCGACACTTGGGTTTCTGCAGTAACACATGCAGCGCTGAAAGTACAAAAAAATTTCGTTGTGTATTGAATAAAAGAAGAACGTAACAACACCTGTGGCATCTCAAAAAATTTACAGAGAAAGAAAATGTCACATCGCCTGCAGACACACACACACACACACACACACACACACAAGTGCATTATTTTTCATTTTTTATTTTTCACACGTGTACCATATGTAAATATCAGCCTTTCCACTTGTAACACACGCACACGCATCCGCAAAAAAAAAAAAAAAAAAAAAAAAAAAAAAAAAAAAAAAAAAAAAAAAAAAA